CTGCTGAATTACCAAGGAATTGGGGCACCAAACTCCCGTAGGTTCTTTGGGGTGTACTAGCCTTACTTACAGAGATTGTCTCATTTAGAGGCAGATCCTGCCTCCCAGCAACATTCTTTCACTAGTGTACTGGTAAAAAAATGCAAAAAGCTGATGAAAAGCTACTGTTCTGATATATCAAGGACAGACAGTATAGAAGCTACATAGAATAGAAACCTGTGCCTCCTCAGTACTACACAGTACCACTCTGCAAGATAATGCAGAGAGTCTTTTGGGATGAGCAACATGTCTATAAACTATACATATCTACAGATCAGAACACCATACCATGGACAGAAAGCAATCAGTAGTTACTATTACAACTCAGGATTGCTGACATAGCCAAACAGTGGCTACTGTGGAGCTTAACTCCAGGGTAAGGGTCAAGCTCTTCCCCAGCTACAATGAAAAGCCCATTTATTCAAAACTCAAAAATAAATCAATCATTTAAACCAAGATAATTAAACACAGGCTTAATGTATTTAAAACCTATATTTGTGTACATGTTTAACAAGAGGTCTCCTTACAAGCCTATCCTTTGCATGAGCACTAGTGTTAAAAGTTATTAGTTTTGCTGTATATATGTACTCGGGTGCAAATACCTATTTTAGATCTGCAGATTACAGTTAGCATTGGAAAAATCCTAATCACATACTCTTTATTTAAAAGAAAAAATAAAACTCATAAACTGTTTTAGAATGGTATAAATGCATCTTGTAGCCTTAATTATCTTGTTAGGCTTGTTATAATTTCCCAGGCCTTTGGTTCCTTTTTCATTGTGAACCACTTTGTACAGGGGAGATAGGGAAGAGAAGAAATAGATTAGGAAGTATGGAATGGAATACAGATATCTTCTTATAGAATCCTTTCCCCTCCAAAACTCTAGAGCAAAAGAAAAGAAAGAGGTGTTTTAACACTGCTCCCAAGTACCCAAATGTCTTTTCAGTAGTAGTGAGGCTAGGAAAGCCATCAAGCAGATGAAGAATGACAAGGTATCTGAAGTTGATGGAAGTCCCACTGAAACATCCAAGCAGGGGAGCGAGAAACTCACATCACAGCTCCATGCCCTAGTTTTAAGGATTTGGAATGATGAGGAAATTCCAGGTGACTTCAGGGATGCCTTGATTGTGACAATCTTCAAGAAAGTAGACAGGTCTGACTGTGGAAACTACAGAGGGATTAATCACTTTGCTGTTCATCACAGGAAAGATCATTGCAAGAACGCTCCCGAACTGTCTCCCTCCACTTGCTGAAGAGCTTCTCCCAGAATCTCAGTGTGGGTTTAAGGCAGGGGTGGGCAAAATATAGCCTGCAGGCGGGATAAAGAGCAACACCCTTGCCATTTCTCGTAACACAATCCCTCCTGTACAAAGTACAGCCATCTATACCTGTGGTCCAGTCATAGGTGGACTCCCACCAGGTTTCCATTATCCCTATGAGTTCATATTCATTTTCACTTAGCAAAAGGGCCAGTTCCTCCTGTTTGTTCCCCATGCTCCTGGCATTTGTGTACAGGCAGCTAAACTTGCCATTGGAAGCCCTGGGCTTCCTTGTGCTCTTAGAAGAGTCCTGCCCTTGGACTGGGGTTGGAGTAAGTTCCCTTGTGTTACCTGACCTGCTGATTCTGTGGTTGTCACTTCCTGGGCTTGCACTGGTGATAGTCTGTCCATCCCCTGGTGATCTTAGTTTAAAGCCCTGTCGAGCAGGTCAGCCATCCTGGCTTCTTTCCCATCAGAGTGAGGTGGAGGCTGTCCCTTCCCAACAAACTGCTGCCTCTCTCTCTGAAGTGCAGACTGTGATCAAAGAAGCCAAAATCTTCATGATGGCACCAATGCCGCAGTCTTCTGTTAACTTCTTTAATACATCTCTACCTCCTGTGCCTGTGACCCATAACTGGGAGGATCGAGGAGAAAACTACCTGTGCCCCCAACCATCTGAGCCCAGTCCCCAGAGTCCTGTAGTCACTCAACATGGCCAGGTTTGCTCTGAGCTGTGTCATTTGTCCCCACATGGATGAGGAGCATGGGGTAGTGGTCAGAGGGCCAGATGAGTTTAGGAATCCTCTCAGCTACACCCCAGATATGGGCCCCTGGGAAGCAGCAGACCTCACGGGCTCAGGTCCAGAGCCTGAGGAAGGGAGGACCAGAAAGTGTTTGCTGACTTCAATCTGCTCCTTTTCAATTCCATGGGCCCTCCTTCTTTGAGTAGTCACATGCTGCCACTTTTCCTCATTGCCCTTTGGCCCCTCCAGTACCAGTACCTTGTGACTCACCTGGGACTGGCTCTCAGTGGAGATGCACTGGTGGAAGCCTGTCATGCTCCCAGGAGCTAAAAACTACTTACAGACCGTCCGGCGGGCCCCAACTCCCCAGTGTGGAACCAGGAAGTAAGCAGAGACCGCGGTGGGTAGGCAGGGCACTGGTGGGAGGCAGCTGAGTAGAGCCAAAGAGGGTCATGCCCCCCGCACTCCCTGGCCCCTACTTGGCCCAGCCCCCAAGGGAGCCATGTGAATAGAGAGAGCATGCAAACAGACATGCTCTGGGCCTCAACGCATGAGTTAGCATGGGAGTTCGTGCAGGAGGGGCATGAGGCTCTAGGCAGCGAGCCTGAAGAGAAGGGTCAGCACAGCAGTAGCCTGGACTACCACCTGTGCGATGGTGGGGACTCATCACACCCTGAAGATCCCCCCAACAGCTGGAGCCTCCCCTTCTGGTACCACTGAGGCCTCCACCCAGATGGAGCCCATGGTTCTGGCCTTCACTCAGATGGAGCCCCTGTTCCCAGCTGTGGGGGCTGCCTGGCTCGTATGCAGGCACCTGGGAACAGAAGCAATGATATCTCCCCTTGTGGAGTATGCTCCACAATAGAGTCTCTCGGGTGCCAAATAAGGGAGCTCCAGGCTGCAGTGCAGAGGCTGAATATCATCGGGGATGGCAAAGAGGAGATACTGCCAGGCTCTTCACCAGAAAAATGAAGAGGGCATAGGAAGGATGGCTGGCAGGACAAGGGTGGACAAGAGGAGCTACTGCAAAGTCCAGCCAGGGGACGCTTGGACAAAGGTCATCTCTGGCCCCAAGACGTGCTGTACCAGGGTCACCACCCCGCTGGAATTTCACAACAGATATGAACTCCTTGCAGCATCAGTAGAGCCAGCAGGGCCACCAGCTCCAGCACTTGAGGAAGGAAGGCAACCAGCAACCACCCCTAAGAAGAGACACAGAGTGGTCATCGTGGGAGACTCTCTCTTAAGGGGGGCAGAGGGAGCCTTGAATAGAATGGCTGCCCACCTCAGGTGTGAATAGAGATTGGCAGGCTTGTGGTGGAGAAAGAGGGTCAGGTGACCTAAGGAGAAGCTCATAAGCTCAGGACCTGGTCCAGAAGGGGCAATCTTACCATAGGAGCCAGTACTCCAGGGGAGAGCCCACCTGGGCCACCTACAGAGAAAGGACTCTGTGCCTCAGAGGGGCAGAATAAACCCTGCACCAGAAACAGTGAGAGTTAAGTACCTCTAACTTCTGTATATGTGCTACTGTGGAGTGAAATTAACCCTGCCAGGAAAGCCTTGCTTTTTGGTGAACTTTATGTTTTGAGAGCAGATGCTTATGCTTTTGATCTATATTTAAGACAGAGGGCCAGGGTGGCTGTAAGGGGCAGATTGGAGGCCACTGTGGTGCAGCAGGGGCACCCAATTCAGAGCACCCCTAGGGCCTGGAGCCCACGGTGTTGAATACAGGCAGATGCCCAAATACGTTTCAGAAAGAGGACTTTGACATGTCAGAAAGCTGGATGTTGGGGGTATCTGGAGGAAGCAAGCCCTGCACCCACTGGAGACATGTCAAGGGGCTGAGTGGCCCAGGGGCTGAGGAAGGGAGAGCCTGGGATGGAGCTGGAACCCAAGAGTCTAGGGTCTTGGTACAGTGGACCTTGGACAGCAGGACCCAGCCAGAGTAGAAGTGAACTGAGGCCAGGAAGCTTGGACAAGGACCTACCCCAAACCTGCATCTGCCTCTGAGCAGCCTCCCTATGAAACTATAACCCCAAGATGTGAAAACCACAGGGGAGAAGGACCCTGAGCATCCAGAAGCAAGAGTGAGGAGGCAGGAACCCCTTGACAGGTCAGATCAGGACTTTGTTGTCCGACCACCCAACCCTTTTTGTTACACCTAATACAGATCCAAATTTTTCAAAAGTCCTCAGTATATCTTATACTGAACTGGCCCATATGGCTGACAGCCTCTGTCTTATTATACAGTTGTGCAACACCTATTTAATTCTAGTCTGAAATGTTAGAAACACAGTTGATGGCAAGCGGATAATATGTTTTGCATTTTTTCTAGTGGATTATATTAGCCTCTCTTTCAAACAAGATAAGACATTGAGCCAGGTAAGATAATGCACTAATCTATTTTTTTTTCTTTTAATCATAGTTGTAGTAGTGATGTGATATGTTCTGTCATGTCAGTTTGCACAAGTAGAAGGTTTTATCTTTTTAAATTCTGATTTCATTGCCGTTTTTCTGTTGGAATGTGTAGAGGCTTGATATCATTGCTAATTAGTAAATAATTGGCACATTTTATCTTTTTTTAGTCTTGTAACTTTAAAATTGCTTTCTAGATGATTTATTCAATAACTTCTGGTTAACAATATGGCTCTGATAATCTTACCATTAGATTGGCATTGGTGGTCCCTGCCTCCAAAATAGGGGGAATCTAATCCAAAAGCTCCACCTGGATGCAAGGGGCTGTCTATGCAGATTTAATTGTAGACCATGGGCGCTTGTACATAAGATGAAAATGCCTGTTTTTGTGGTTTAATTGCATCACACTTTACACATCCTTGGCTTTTTGCCATTTAAACAAGTTTGTTATGTTGAAAACTAAACCACAGCTGCATGTAGTTTAGTTTGCAATGTTGTTACTGGTAACTTACAGACTTTAATATGATAGCTGGCCTTGGGAGAGCCAGGCTGAAGGCAGAAGCAGCGAGGGACCCAATCTTTTTTTTTTTTGTGGGGCCTGCCTGCCTGCCTCTCTCGTGGCCCCAGCTTAGAGGCAGCACCTGTTGGATCCAACTCTTCCCCAAGCCCACCCAGGAAGCAGTAGCCCATTCACTATCCCCGCCACCTTCCCACCACCTGGAACTGCCTGGGAATGGGCTGGCTTCACCCTAGGGCAGCGTGGATAAGCCGCAGGAGGGTGGCTGTGTTTACTGGCAGCT